GTTGCTAATCCTCCTTCTTCCAGACTAGGAAACAAATAGTACAAATGGACACTGCAAAGAAAGAAGCACATACATAAAGAGGCATTGCAACATTCGTTGTGGCTCTGAGTCTCTGAAATAAGGCTGGCACACAAGATCCAAACAATAGATACGAGCCGAAGAGAACACAGGGTTTGATTAAGTCTTTGAAAGTCAAATGAGGGTACAGTTCATCTGATATAGTAAACCTTGAACAAGACCATTCACTCATATTTCCAAATATATTTCTGCTAAAAGATTTCTCTGAAATCTGAGGACCTCAAAGACCTGAACAGTCACACATTAATAAGAGAAAACACATCTTTGAAACTATGACTGGAAACAAAAGGTTTTCCTTGAGCTGGGTTGTGGATGGCCCCTGAAGAGAATCTGGGGAAGCTCTGAGGAGAGGCACAGTGGTGGCATATTCTTCACAAGCATAGCTAGAGTAAGGAACAGAACTGAGAGTGGCACTAGTAGCTGGCTCAGACTAGGGATGAATCTAATCGACTGATCAGGAAAGTGCAGAAACTAGGCAGAAGGCCACAAGGAAAACCAGTGGGGACCACAAGAGGAGGTGATCTCTCTACATGGCACACCATTCTGTAAGATTCACTGCTGACCAGGACAGCTAAGCACATTGACTCTTCAAGGCTTAGAGAGTAGCCCTTTCTCCTCATTGTGTCCTTCCATGAAAAGAAATTACCTGAAGACAATAAAAAGAGCTCAAGAAGAGCATGTGCTGTCTCACTATAAAAGAGCAATTACAGGGGCCAGCAGGTTATGTGGTGGTGAAGGTGTTAGACTCCCACATGGCTTACTGTGGTTCAAGTCCTAGACCTGGTGGCTTGCTTTCTCACTTCTCATCTCTCTGTGTCTCTCTCTGCTGAGTGCACATGCCCTATAACAAATTAAATAATAATAATAATAAATAAAATTAAGTAAATATTCTTTAAAAAAAGAGAAATGACTGAATATGGAAAAACAAAAGGCACTTGCACACCCCTACCTCCAGACTAAAGATCCTAAACTACTTCTGGGAATAAAACACACACACACACACACACACATACACACACACACACACACACACACACACACACACAC